TGCACTTTACATATTTGTGTTATTATATTATAATACATGTACAAGAAGTGTTTCATACTGGTGAATCACATATATTATAACAGAAAATGTATACATGGTAGGGCAGAAATGGAAATACGATCGGAATAGAGATGATTCTAGGTAAAAGAATGAATAACAAATTTAATATACTAGTATATCTTTACGAAGAATCATATCCACTTCGATTATCGCCTACCTCTGTACATATATATAAACCCAAAAATCTATTCATCAATTGAAGTTTCACAACTAATTTCATTCTCTAGCATCATGTCCCCATGTACCATGTTAGTATAACTGTGTATTTACATGTGCTCGGTACCGATTCAGCATTTTTAACTGGATACTCACATAGCCAGTAAGATCATTATCAGTATTCCGGTCACTCTCCTTGATGCTCCAATATAGTCTAGCCTCGTGCAGATGTTTCTATTAGTAAATCAACCCACCACCATATAGACCCAGCACCCAGACCCAGTAAACCAATGTTGATGAGTCAAAGAAGGCCAGGTGTAGCATGCCAAAAACACAGAACATGCCGCTGATGCAATCACCAATTACCAAGTACACATCAAAAATTATATTACCGTTACGGTAATCAATTTATGAATACGTTCTGGCCTACCATATTATAATAAGCAAAATAAATAAAAAATAAATAAAAAATATATATCAATAAAACAAGAACATAAGAAGTAAATGTATTTAAATAAAGGCTAATATCTTTACGTGTTCGTGATATGTACTTGGTTTCAAAGAAAACTCAAATTAATGTGTTTTTCATGCAAAGCAAGAAATAATCAGAAAAAATAATCAGTGTTTGCATAGATTTCGCGCGGAATTAAGTATGTATCAATTGTGATGTGTATTCTTACAATATGTCAACCTATTTAATTGTACTCGTATGGCAGAGATTAAGTGTCTCCAAGTACTTTCACATAGTACTATTATAGTTATGATCTATTGTTGTACAAGTCATATTCTTTACCTAAGCTTCTTTTTACATGAGTACAGAGCTCAAGTTTCTTACATTAAGTAAGACTAGCAGTTTCAGATTTCATTCTAATTACCTCAATTTCCATGAACTTCAGTATTGTAATGAAACACAATAATTGTTTGAGTTTATATGTATTATTTAATTTCATATTCATAAAATTATAACAATGACCACAAAAGGATAAAAGCACCTTTCCTATAAAAATCAACATGAACATTTCTTCAGAAGAAACATCAATTTTTATGAATTTGGTGTATGTATATTTTTGTGCAAAATTGAAAAATTATCCAAAGTTTAAAACATTAAGCCACAGTTCCCTCGCAGGATTAACCATAAAATATGATGTTATGTAAAAGTACAACTAGTTGTGCTTTAATTAAGATCACATAAATACATTTAAGTAAAGATGACTTTCTTTGAATTCCATAAATATTTATGTATGTATTGATGTGCTCACATACTCAAAAAAGGTGCCATATTCACCACACAAATATTAACGTTAACTTGAAAGTTTCTGTTAGAGGCTTGTATTGATTACACCGTAAATTTAGTATAATGTATGTATTCGTGAAAATAGTATACAGAAACTAAAATTATAAATTTAACATAAAATACGTAACCAAAAAAATACGGTACCTGCACTGTAGTACTCTGATCTGAAAACGGACTGCTAAAGAACGTTGTAATGATATTCATTAGGCAACCTGTCACATAGTTTTCCAGAAAGGTATCAGCATGTTCACGATCATGCGTGGCAGTTGCTATTATACCCATGTCTACAATAAAAGACTTTTCAAACAACGACCACATATGATTCGAGGTGTAAATTTCTTTCATTTCCACTTCTGTGTCAATATAACAATGATTAAGGAAATTTATATATGCTTCTTTGACCTAAAAGGCAGATCAATTTTTAAAAACCTATCATCTATAAAGACAGATTCTCTGACGACATAAAGACTTACTTCTGGTATGCAATCTGGATGTGATACCATAGCAACAATATCATCCAATGGTAAAAGACTGTGGCATTTAATTTCTGTATTGACATTTTTACCCATCGTACAACAAGCTAATAATTTTACTAATTCTACATGATACCTAAAAAGATGATGATATAAATTATACAGTATAAGAAAAATGATTCGAATGGGTTATGTGTGTGATGTACATGTATGATATTTACTTTAGTAGACTACTTTCATCCATTCTGTGCCTTTCAGATCTCATCATTTCCACAAAGTGATTAAAAGAAGCTCTGTCGTTGTAAAAGACAAGAACATCTTCACCAGATTGAACCATCTACGAAATCATTATGTTTTAAAAATAGATTAAAACCTTTGCTTAGAATAATAAAATTAATTACTCACTTCTTGCATCACCATTTCCTGACATTTTCTGATGAACTGATTCTCAGCTTTTACTATTGTTTGAAGAAATTTCAGATACTGTACATGCTTCCCATGAGTTTCTATACAATGCACAAAATGTTGTATAACTTTAGCGCTCACTTCATTGCACAATGTGGAATTGTCTTGAAAAATGCTGCACACTGTCTGCGCTTCGCGTATACCAGGATTCAGGAACAAGTCCAGTTGCTTATGCAATAAAACCTGATTTTGTTGATTGCCTAAACAAAAATTCTGTAGAAAATCATGCGCTAATCGCATCAACTCGTTCATTCGAACATCCTCTTTGGTATCATATGGAACTTGTAGTAAGTCTAAGACAACAGTGTGTACTCCAACGTTGCGTAAAAGTCTTTGCTCGTGTTTTCGTGGCTTGAATTGACCACCTATCGTTTGAATGCATAGTTTGTTCATACGAATTAATATTTGCTGTATCTTTTTATATTCTTCAGCTTGGTCTGCGGGTAACGGAGGACCAATGTCTAAGTCTATAGCAGATCCTATAATTGTAAATATTATTTAGTTTTATCCATTAAATACAATCTTATATTATAAACTTATTACCTTTCTTATCGGACGTTGATAATTGAGGTGGTGCTTTGCGAGGTGTAGATCCATCATCTTCTTCATCCTTGCTTTTCTTCTTTTTACCGCCGCCATGTTCTTCGGCCGCTTTAGATTTGTACACCCAAAGCTCAGACTTTTCAACCGACTGTCGCAACACATCTAAATCCGACTTAATTTGTTTATAAGACTCAACATCGCTATCAGACACCAATAATTGTACCTATTCATTGAATAGATAATATATGTATAGAATATTTATATTTAGTACTATTTTTATTTTCTATGTGAAAGAGATAGCATAACGTACTTGTTTAAACGCTTGCAAAACTTCTTGTCTTTGACTAAAATGTCTGAAGAGCAAGTGTAATGCTCCAGAAACTAATGGAGGATAGTCATGCATTGCCAAATGAAGCAAGACACGCAGAAATGTCTTACCACCTTGACCATCCAGATCTAGCGCTGCACACTCTTCACTAAAACATGTTTTCTATGAAATATTTCTCTGATATTTAAATAAAAACATTAAGTAATGTGTTACCTGCTTCCAAATATACCCTCTGCTTGAGTCCCAATTAATTCCAAATCAATAGTTTTTTGACCAAGATTTACATCGCCAGATGCTTTCTCAGTTTCGTCGAATTCTTGTTTAAAGATGCTTAATAAACAGGAAATTCTGTAGTCTAATCGGACGTCAAGAATAAACTGTAAGATTTCAATTATTTTCAACTTTGTGTCCATCACCAATGGGTATTCTTTCTGTGATAGTGGTTTCGGCCTCGGAGATGTACTTCCACCTAAAACTTGTCCGGCTGAACCCAATGTCAAACTTGTCATTACTGCTCCCATATCTCCGATACATCTTAGTACTCCACCCTCGGCTGTTAAAAGTACATTTGTCACTATATTTTTTGATATATCACATAAGAATGATTAAACGTAATTTTATTATATATTATCATAGTTATCATATTTATAAATATGCATATAAGTAGGGTTCAATTAAAGGCGTAGACATTAAATGAAATTTTGAAAAAATGATGTTGGGAGTACACAAAAATTAGAAAAATATCTCTATTAACATATATGAAACGTAGAACATGTAAGAGGGAAAATAAGTGTGCATTTAATAAAATTAATGTGGTTCAATTGACAAAAACCCTTTAAACATAAAGTTAAAGATAAACAGTCATTTTAAGACCATTACTTAAGGAATCTGCAACTACCATTAATTTGTAGTTATGCATTACCTGTTTCCTTAGACTCCATAGACTCAGCTTTAGAAGTTTTTAGAAGAAGTCAGTTAATTACATTTATATGTGCATACTTGGTACATGTATTTGTATCATTGGGTATACTATTCTACAAAGTTTTAATTGTGCATAAATACTACATGGAATATATTATTAGCACTTTTAAATGGGTATATTTATGAGCAAAATTATGTTATGATATGTTATGATATGATATATCATAAATAGTCATATATATATATATATATATAGTCATATATACAAAACACACCATATTCACAAAATTAGTTTATGTACAAGAAATATTATTACTATATATCAC